CTAAAAAGAATACACCGCCCCCCCAAAAAAAATCTTCCTTTCTTCTAACTTCTGGATTTCTGTTCAGAACCTCCATATCCTTATAGTACCTAGGTGCAAAATTTCAGTCATGTTAAACTCTTCCTTATCTCTCACCCTTCTTACCCAATCAGACACTAAGTCTTGTTGACTCTCCCTCCACAACTTACCTTATATCTATTTCTTTCATTCTACTCACCTGGCTCCCACCCTAGTTGAGGCTGTCTTCGCTTCTTTTTTTGTTTGTTTGGTGTGTGGCAACCAGGGTTAAGTGACTTGACCAGGATCATACAGCTAATAAGTGTCAAGTGTCTGAGGCCAGATTTGAACTCAGGTACTCCTGACTCTAGGGCCAATGCTCTATCCACTACAACACCTAGCTGACCCTGGCTGTCATTGCTTCTCAAATGGACTATGTAATAGCCTCCTAATTGGTCTCCTTGAATTGAGTTTTTCTCCTTCTCCATTCTATTCTGTATATACTGCCAAATTGATATCCTTCCTGTTATTCCCCAGCACAAAAAGTTCTAGTGGTGCTCTCCTGCAGATTCCTCAGTTTGGTATTTAAAACTCTTTGCAATCTGACTCCAACCTAACTTTCCAAGCTTAGTACAGTACCTGGCATATAGTACGTGCTTAATAATTTTTAATTGATTCTTTCACCCAGAACATTCCATCTCCTATCTCCACTGACTGTTCCTGTAATGCATTCCCTCCTCATATGTGCCTCATGGAATACCTAGCATCTTTTGAAGCTCAGCTCAAGGAACTCCACGTCCTATCTAAAGTCTAATCTAATTCCAGGAGTTTCTAATGACCTTCCTCCTCCTTGTAAAATATTTTGTGTAAGTTTTATATTTAGTTATCTGTATATAGAATGTAAGCTTCTTGAGGGGGAGTGACTCTTTTCTTTTTATCACCAGCACCTAACACCTTGCCAGGTTAGGTTGCCAGAGGATATACCATTTCAATCCAGACCTGCGATTTCAATGGCAAAGGGAAACTGTCTAGGGAAATTTCTTCATGAGGGTACCCCATCTAATGACACAAATCAGAAACCGCTGTGTAATTTGAGGTCTTGGGAGTTTCCTGGACTATTCTCCTTCATTTGGAGGGGGTGGTTATATTTTGGTAATATTGGAGGGGGGTAATATCCAATTCCGTGATATCTCTTCCCTTCTCCATGGTCTTGCAGAGATCACTAATAATGGCTCAGCCATCACTTTCAGAGCCTGAGGCTGTGGTTCATCTCACACTGAAAGGCTTGGACTTGTCCATAATCATAGAATCAGTATTTGGACAAACTTTTAATCCATCAACCCTAGATCACTGACTCCAAATTATACATTATTCCACTTTGCCTTTCTGTGTTCCAGCTACATGGTAGACTAAATGGTGGTAGCAGAAGCAGTAGCAGCAGCAACAGCAGCAGTGACTGTAGTAGCAGCAGTAGTAATAGCAGCAACAGCAATGGTAGTAGTAGCAGCAGCAGTAGTAATAGTAGCAGCAGCAGAAGGAGGAGGAATAGAAGCAACAGCAGTAGTAGTAGTAGCAGCAGCAGCAGCAATACTACTACAATAGTAGCAGTAGCAGTAGTAGCAACAGCAGGAGTAGTAGCAGCAGCAGCAACAGCAGCAGTAGAAGTAGTAGTAGCAGCAGCAGTAGCAATAGTAGTTTTGTATGACAAGGACAAAAGTACTACTACAATAGTAGTGGTTATCATCATCACACAAAACTACTACTACAAAGCTACACAGTAGGTACTTAAAGCTTATTCATTAGGCTGCTCTTTGTGAAGATGAGTACAGGGAGATGAGAAAATTTTTAAATTTCAAAGTTTCAAAAATGTTTGGAGGTTTTATGTTTTCCTAACTCGATGACTTGTGTGGCTTTAATAGTGAGTTTTAACCCCAAATACTCTCTGACATTGGAATTATTTAAAGAGAGTCTATAAGGAGTGTTATATAAGGAATATTTGTGTGGGGTGAGAGGTTGGCCCAAATCACCTTGCGGGTTCCTTCTATTCTAATACATCTATTATTCTAGAACATCAACTTGAACCAAATCTTTCTGAACTAAAAGAAATTTCTAAAGACCAAATACACAGTTAATTCAGGGATAATGATAGGTATGACTAGTCTGGACGGTTTCTTTTTTAAGTTAATAGAGAGCAAGTTATGGTCAGGACAGCGAAGACAGCAGCAGCCTCATTATTTTTGTGCTCTGTAGTTATGATAGCACCTCTCCTCCCCCTACCCCCCCCCAAAAAAAACTAGACCTTATGAGAGCATTAGATTTTTACTTGCTGATTAACAAAGTGTAAAGGAACTCTTTGTGAAACATTTTTTGAAGGAGCCAGTATTTAAATTTAGACTTCTGTTTGAAACATTGTGAATTCCTACATTATCAAACACACACGTATTCACAGTATATAGATTTAGAGCCAGAAGGGACATCAAATGTTATCTACTCTAACCCCTTCATTTTGGAAATCAGGAAGCTAAGGCTCAGGGAGAAGTGAGTCTTCTATCAGTGTCACACAGGCAGGGACAGAGGGAGGATTTGAACACAGGTCCTCTGTCTCTAGAACTATTTTCCTTTTACCTTACTGCCTCTGTAAGTTCAAAAAATATATATACAGAAACTGTCAAGAATAAAATTCTGAATAATTTTAAAACAAAATAAAGGGGAACAATTACAATGAGGAGAGAAAAACATGTCTCAGAAGACCAGTGTGGATACACAGAGAGCTCACCAAACTAGCTTAGATTTTTTTTTAATCTTTATCAAAGATAGAAGGAGTAGCTGGCCAAGAAGATGACTACAAAATGTGGCACAGTGCTATGTGAAGAGTGGCAAGAATGCTAAAGCTCAGAATAAGCTGAAGTGGGTGAGAAAACATGAGGACAGCCAAGAGGGTCTTTTTAAAAAAAAAAAACTATACCGCAGGAAAGGGGAGGATCAAAGTGGCAGCAGTACTGATTAATGGGGTGGATGGGATGATGGTAACTAACAACAGAAAGTGAGTGTTGTTTTCTCTGTCAAGGGGAATGAATGAGTGACTTTTGCACTGGAAAGGACAGAACCAAAGTGGATAACCTAGATAATTAGGGAGATAACAAGAGAAGATTTTTCTGTCCTTGATAAATTCAAGTCACCTGGCCCAAGAGCACTATGTCCTCAAGGTCTGAAAGTACTGTCAGTGAAATCTGCAAAAAAAAAAAAATGGAGAAGGGGAGAAATACCACGGGACTAGAGCAAGTCAACTGTACCTCCCCAATATGGAGAAGAATAGAATGTGGAGGGAAAGAATAATATTAAATAAATGACTAATCAACATCTAAAAGAAGACAACTAGGTGGTGCAGTGCATAGAATGCCAGGTCTGGTGTCAGGAGGACCTGAGTTCAAATCCAATCTCAGACACTGGCTGTGTAACCCTGGGTAAGTCACTTAACCCCATTTGTCTCAGTTTCCTCATCTGTAAAATAAGCTAGAGAAGAAAATGGCAAACCACTCCAGTATCTTTGTCAAGAAGATCTTTCTCGTGAAGCATCAGACATGATTGAAAAAAGACTGAACAACAACAACATCTAAAAAAGGAAAGACAAGAAAAATGATCATGTTTTTGCTATTTGGAGTTATGATTAAGGTCATACAAGTAACCAAGTTAGGGAAATATAAACCTCGAAGATTTTTTAAATTTTATTTCGCCACCCACACACTCCCATCTAAAAGGGACTGTTGTCTTTAAGAAAAACAAACTGGGAACAAATCATTTGTTCCCTTTATCTAATACCAGGGATAAGAACAGGCATTACTGAAAGGTGTCCCTTGATCTGTGTGAGCCCCGGTTACAATTCTCCTTTGAGGCTGCTGGCTAGCAGGGATGTCAGTGAAGGAGCAGTGGCTGGCATGCATGAACCTGAATAATTTTTGCACCAGACTCTGTTTGGGGGTGCTTAGCTGGGATTCATACCCCTTGATGCTGTTTCAGTTCTTTGCTATCATGTCTCTGTCATTCCTTCATCACCCAGTGACAGGTACATGTCTTGTCAATGTGCTACCACACCTTGCTGCCAGCATCTCTTCATTTCTGCTAAAGTGCAGGAGCAGTTGGTGCCTCCCTTCAATCATTTCCCTGTTACCAAAGCCTCATCAGGACACCTTTAGCGGCCCAAGTGGCATTGCATCCCACGGTACATTCTGGCAGGGTATAATTCCTGTGCTTGGTGAGTGCACCTAATAGGAATGACATCATAGAAGATACTTCCTGCCACCACACCATGAGCAAGGAAATAGAAGATGGGACAGAAAAAAGAGAAATCAGAAATTAGCTTGAAAAGCAATTTGAAATTCTCTGCACTGCAAAATGGCAAATCGTTTTCACCCAAAAAGTGTATCATATATTTAGAACTGACATTTGGCTGTAGTGGTTTATTGAGTTAGATTCTCAGGGCAAGTATTAACCCTAAGCATGTGTCATTAAAGTTAACGACTTGCAAATGAGGTTGTAATGAAGCAAGGTCTGGCCAGTCCTTTATTACCATTTTTTACAACAATAATGACAGGTTATGTTACATTTTAAAACACAAATGCTATTTTGGTCATGTTTTCAATAGAGGTGACTCATGGAGGTGGGCTTATAGTCAAGTCCCTTATAGAATCACTGGTAGAGAAATCAAAGTCTACAAGTTTCCTAGGCAAATGCAATATTTAAGAAAACTCTTAAATCATGGATCACCTTACATATTTATAGATAATAACCTAAGTGCTGGTTTAATGATAAATGCCTAAAATGCAGGGGTGCTAAAAGTACATTTAGAGTATTGCAGTTTAATTTTTTTTTATTTAGAAAGCCTCCTGTTGCCACCTCTCTCTCTTAATAGAAAGGTGGAGGGCTACCACTATGGGATGTGGTATACATTATACAATGTTGCTCTACCAATTAGTTTTGCTTTAATGTACTTTTCTTTGTTACAGGGAAGCATTCTGTGGTAGATGGAGAATAAAGGCAGATAACGGCCAAGTACAAATGAAAGGTAACAATGAAACTTTTTTAAAATGTTTTTTAATGTAACTCACTTATAAAAAATCATTGTTACTGTCACATTTAGAAAATTAACTGAAATATACTTTTTTTTTAATACTGGTGCCCAGCAGACTGAATCAAGAAACCTCAAAGATCCTTTATTTAATTTTTTCAAAAGATGAAAAAAAGCAAAGAGAGAGAGAGAGAGAAACAGAGAGAGAGAGAGAGAGAGAGAGAGAGAGAGAGAGAGAGAGAAGGGACAGACCAATTTCAGACACTTCCAGGACATTAATCAAATCCTAACAAACTGTTCTGGACTCTGACTGTAATGAGTCAGAAGACATTTACCAAACAAAACGGCCAATAGTTCTTTTTTCCAACCTGATTAATCAAACTTAATGAAACCTCTTTTAAAAATAAAGGAGGAATAAGGAGAAAAGGGAAGAAGAAGATAGCAAAGCAAGAGACAGCTCATATATTTCACAAGAGGAAAAATCTCTACCATCCTGAATTGTTTCATTCAAGGCCCTATAGAAAGTGTATTTTAGAATTTCTGCCTGACCTTGAATTTGACAAAACTCCCTGAAAAGGTCAAGCTTATAAAAGGACTTCAATTATAAGAGGTTATCTAAGTGGCACTCAGACTGCTTTTCAAGATGAAATACTCACTGAAGTTTGTATTTATTTCATAAACAACCATGTTAACCTTGCTATTTGCACAGTAGATGACATCTTCCCAACACTGTAGAATCCCTACACTATAAATCTTTAGAAGATAAGCTGCTCATTCCTTGTTTGTAAAAAACGTGGTAGGAAGTAAGACCCAAGAAAACAATAAAAGAACTGAAGCCCATCTGTACTGTGCATAGAAGATAAACACAATAATCCAACAATAGGGGAATGGTTAAATAAATAATGGTTAAATAAATTAACTTAGAGGAATACCATAAAACAATTAAGATGGACAAGCGGGAGGATTATAGAGAATTCTGGAAAGAATTTTACGAAATAATGTAGGATGAAAAAATCAGAACAAGATGGAGTATACATTAATTAACTATGGTCATAGGAGGAAAAATTAATGAGAATAATGATAGAGGGAGAAAATTCTTAAAATTATGATATACTTCACGCACTGAGATAACTGTATATTGTATTAAACAAACATAACAATTGCTCTTAATACTGAATGTTATTTTTACTAAAACAATTAATTAAATCAGCATTAGCATAGCACAAGGAAAAGGATGATGTGAAGTCAGCAGATCTGAATTCAAATCCCACCCCTGCCACCTGGGGAAGTCACAACCTGTCTAAGCCTCCATTTCCACATCTATAAAATAAGGAGGTTGGACCAGATGACCTCTAAGTTTCCTCCTATCTCTCAGGCTGTAAGTCTGGGATCCTGTAACATGCTCTATGGTTAATGATCTTTTACATTTGGGGAGAGCGGACCAGACCTATGATTTTATTGGCGCAGTTAACTCCTGGAGTGGAAATGTCTCCTTCTGCTGAAGAGCTGCGTGCACTCGGCAACTTATAGTCTAAGGAAGTTGCCCAGGGAAATGGTCTCCAAAGTTGTTTGTTGTTCTCGTTTTAATCACACACCCCTGAGCTTTAGGAAAATTGTTTTGACAGCTTTGTGGAGGATGGATTGGATACTATGGGAAATAGGCATCTCAAACTCAACGTGTCCAAAAGAGGATTCATTATTTTTTCCCCACAAGCTGTCCTGTCCTCCCAACTTCCTTTATGCTGTCAAGGGCACTGCCATCTTCCCAGTCACCCAAGCTCCCAACCTTGATACCAACTTGAACTGCTGATTTCTACTCACCCTACATATCTAATTTGTTTTTAAATCTTGTCATGTCTACCCCTCATGACATATTTCATATATGTCCCCTTCTCTCTACTCATATCCAATACCCCATAATAGAGGCACTCATCACCTTTCATCTAGACTACTGCAATAACCTCCTAATTTGGTCTCCCTCCCTTGTTTCTCATTATCCCAATCTATACTCTAAAATAACTTTCCTAAAGTGCAGACATGACTATCACCAACACCACCACTAAACTCCATTGGGTCACTATTGCCTCCGGGATCAAATATAAATTCTTCTCTTTGGCTTTTTAAGCCCTTCACAACCTGACCCCTAACTACCTTTCCAGTCTATGATCCGGCTACTTCCTGCTTTGGGCCTACTTTCTGCTCTTCACAAAAGATACTCCATCTCCCAACCCCCTCATTTGCACTAGCTGTCCCCCTCCCCCCACCATGCCTGGAATGCTCTTCTTCTTCACCTCTGACCCAGCTTCTCTTCAAGACCCAGCTCAGATCTCACCTTCTGTGGGAATTTGGTTCACTCCACACACCAACACCCTCCCTACCGCTAATGTTCTCCCTCTGACATTACCTTCCATTGTAGACATCACCTTGCATGTACATGGTTATTTACATGTCATTTCCCCCATTCGAATGTGATCTTCTTGAGGACCAAGACTGTTTTTGCTTCTTCTTTGTCTGCCCAACACTTAGCACAGTACCTGTCACACGTGCTTAATAAATGCTTATTGACTCACTGACTGTATTGGAGAGGACTAGAAACATGTATGGAGAGACAAATCGAGAAGATATCACAATAATGCAAGAAATAAGCAATAAGAACCTACATTTGGGCGGTAGCTGTGTCAGGAGAAGGCAGGGAAGATGGTGTGGAGGTAGAAATGATAAGATCTGACCACTGGATAAGTGGGGTGAGTGAGAGTGAGGTATGAAGGATAACACAGAGGTCACTGAAAGGATGGTAGTGCCCTCATCCAGGGTGGGATGCAACCCATCTTCCCACCCTCTGACTCATTGGTTACACATCTTTTGAGGTAATGTCATGGCCCCTCTGGTGGCCAGGGACCCCACTTTAGAGGACACTAGCCAAGGGCACTGAAAGATTAGGTGGTTTGCCTGGGGTCACACAATCAGCATGTGTCCAAGGCAAGACATGAACCAAGGTCTTATTAGCACCCAGGCCAGATCTCTATAAAACTACATGTGATACTTCTCAATCATTTTTTTACTACCCACAAAAGTAAAATGTACAAAGTATCAATCATTATTACCTGGAGGGGTGATCTGAAATTGTAAAACATAGCTCATGAAGGCAGAAGGGAACTATGGAAAGAATATTGAATTTGAAATCAGAAGGGCCTGAGTTCAAATCCAGCCTCTGCTTTTTATTATATGAGTAACCTTGAGCAAGTTATTCAACTTCTTTAGGTCTCAGTTTCCTCATCTGTAAAACAAGATATTTGGGCCAGATTGAGAAGTACAAGGAAAAGATGCCAGATTTAGAGAGTTAAACTCCCTAAGATTGAGTCCCTGTTCTGCTACTTACTTCCTATATGACTCTGAGTAAGTCATGTAACTTCACTGGGTCTCAGTTTCCTCATCTATGAGATGAGAGGTTGAACTAGATAACCTCCATGTTCCCTTCCAGCTCTAAATCTATGGTTCTTTATGTAAATGACCTTCCTTTCCCTGAAGAGAATCCATCAGGTACCAGTGAAATAAATGTTCCTGAAGTCAGTCAGAATAAGGATATGTCAACTGTTTCAATATGTGTGTTCAAGATACAGATATTACATGATATTATGATATTAAACCATTGGTGATTTTCAAAATATTATTGTCCTAGAAGCTATCCCCTGTTGCTTATTGGAAAGACTAAGCAATGAAACTTGCATCTTTTCTTTTCATCCCCATTACCTAACAGAAGAAATTTAAGTCAGATGAACTATGTCATCCCTGTCAACCACTCTGCTGCTGACTTGTCCCAAAGTTGTTGCCAGTGAGTCTACAAGAGATAAGTTTATATCCTGAGGGGGAGAGAGGACACAGGATGTGCCAGGTGCATCCAACCGTCTCCATTACCTCAACCACTTCCCTTCAGATGGTGGAGGAGACAGCCCAAAAGCCAGAATCCAAGAGACCCAAGTGCCTCACAGACTAGCATAGTGCTCGGCAGACTACCAGTCCTGCTTCCAGCCCAGCCCCACAGTCATCATCAAGGGGAGTAGCCCTTTGGAGAAAGATTCCTGCCATTGCTACCAACAACCACAACCAACTTACATTGGTCAAGTAAGTTTCAGAGCCAACAGAACAGCAGTACGCCCCACCCCACCCCAGCAGACCAGAGCCTTACGGCAATCAGACAAGGAAACACACTTGTGGAGACAGAACTTGTCAGCTTTCTCTGCAGGAGCTGCAGCCCCAACCTCTTCAATGGCCACAGATGCTGAAAATCCACGAAAGAAAGTTCTCACCACTAAAGTCCTTGTCTCTGTCAAATCACTCAACATCAGAAAAAGATAAGATTTTGCCAATAAAAATTACATTTTAAAAGATGCATTATCATCTCCATTGACTTTTCATTTGAACTGAATGTGAGCTCCTCAAGAGCAAGGTCTGTCAGTTAATACATTGTAAATACTATGTCCCCAGCACTTAGCATGGTGCTTTGCACATAATAAGCATTTAATAAATTCATTCACAAATACATGATGAGTTTATTTGAATCTAATCTTCCTGAAATTTCAGTGAAACATTTCACAAAATACAACAAAAATATTCTATTGGCAGCTTACTCTGGGGAAACAGGGTTAGTGCTTAAGAATATTTTTTCATTATCTTCCAAAGCCCTCAATGTTACCTCTCTGACAGAATCTCTGGAATGGGATATTCAGAATAGATAACAAATCTTCTCTCTACCACACAATTTTTTTTATTTTGTATGTTTTTTTGTTTCCTTGCTAATCTATGAACATTCCTCCCAGGAGACTGTAAGCTATTTGAGGGAAGGGACAAGGACAATGCAATGCTTAAGGAAGATCACTTTGGCAGTTGGGTGCAGAATGTATTGGAGCGAGAAGAGTTGAGGCAGAGAAACCAGTCAGAAGGTTATTGTAATAGTCCAATCAAGCAGTCCTGACAGCCTCTACAATGATGGTGGCTTTGTGCATGTCAGTAAAAGAACTTTTAGAAGAGGTGCTGTTGTTGGGGTGCCTGGGTGCTTATGCTTGGGTGCTTATGTTTGGGTGCTTGTACTTGGGTCCCAATTTCTCCCTAGCCTCAGAAACACTGTCCCTTGATAATCATTTAAGATCAATTGAGCCCCAATAAGGGCCAAAAAACCTAAATTAATCTTTTTCTCTCTGAGTGAACTAAAAACACCCCTTCCTGTGTCAGCAAATTCCAGGACCAGATAGAGCTGATCAGTATTCTTCCTATTTGTTATCACTGGGCCCAGGATGTCTGGGACCAGATACTCTCTTGAATAATGGGACTTTTCTTATCTTGAGTTTCAATTGAGAACTGACCACTCCTTAACCACTCCCTAATCCCACCCTGAATCCCCTAGTTAGCATATTTGACACATATTTTATTGCATTTTATCTTATATAAACTTTACCTGTACCTCTCTAAGGTTGCAGGATCCTTTAAGAATCCTTGCCCACTGAAAAGCATAACAATAAATCTTTGCCACCTTGAATTAAAGAATGCTGGAGTCTGTGAATTCTTTCCAGATGACCCGTCCTGTACTCCGGTCTTTGAGGGGTCACAACCTCTCAACCTCTCAGCCCGCAACACTGTGACTGTAGAAATAACAAGCTTTGGCAACGAAGTGGATATGTTGGGTGAGGAGTTGGAGATAACCCTGGATGACTGGATGGGTGGTGATGTCATTGACAGTAATAGTGAAGTTCTGAAGGAGGATGGGATGGATCTGGGGGCAAAGATAACGAGTCCTGTTTTAACATGTTAAGATTGAAATGCTTACAAAAGATCTAGTTCAATATGTCTAAGAGATACAAGTATATGAGATGTAAATTCATACCTCAGCAGAGAGATTGTGGCTAGATATATATATTCTATTCCTGTTTCAGTCAAATATGAAAGAGAGGTTAGGGAAAATTCAATTCAACACACCTACTATGTGTAAGACACTGGGCTAGGTGCTGGGGATACAAGACCAAAACAAAACAATCTCTGCCCTCATTGATTTTTGAATCCTACTGGGAGAATACAAGCACACCAGGAAATGTACCTCTAGTCTCTCAACCAAACACCAAGAGAAAAAAATCAGTCTATGCTCATTGTCTCCAGATCTTTATAAATGTAAAGTGTTTAGTGTTGTTCCTGGCACATAGTTAAGTGCTATATAAATGTTATTTTTTACTATTATCCATATCATGCTTCCTAACCATAAGTGTTCCCCAAAACTTTGCCCTTGTTCTTCTTCTCATTTCCCTCTTTACATTCTCTCTTGGTGACTCCATAAATTCCCGTGGGTTTAATGATCATCTCTATTCAGATGATTACCAGGTCTATATATTCTCTCCTCCCAAGGTCCAATCTCACATCACCAATTGCCTATTTGCCGTCTCACATGACATAGACCCTCAGAAAACAAAACTAAGCTCAGAGTGAGTGAAGAATTGTTCACTATGGTTCAGAACCTGGTACAACTCTCGAAAGAGAGTGCACCGAATACAAAAGCAAGAAAAAGTTTTGTACTGTTAAAATGCTGAGACTCCTCCCTTCCAGGCCAGGATTGGTCCGTTCCTTTCCAGGTTACAGTCTTACATGTCCACCCTTCCCATGTTCCCTTGACATGCCTTGTCATGCAACCCATGATTTGTTACTGAGGTTCTAATTTTATTTGGGGTATGCTGGTTAATATGATATTAGCTAGTTAAGCACGCGAAGTTCAAGAGGCCCATGCCCTTTGTCCTACTTAGGGTCAATTGAAACAGGTTCTGCCCTCTGGACTGAAAAGCAGGAACTTTGGAGTCTATTTTCAGAGACGAGGGTCTTTCTTATTGGCTGCTCTTTTCCCCTGTTTTCCTGTTGTTGCAAGATTTTGCAAGCTTGTTAAAACAGCATAACTTCTTTGCTGATGTTGTAAGATGTCAAAGGTTATCTCAAATTGTGGGAGCATGGTACCTTGTCCCTTACATCCTAGAGACATGTCAAACTTATGAGGCAATGGGCTGACTATGATCTAGCTAGTGGATGGAGCACTGGACCTGGAATCAGAAGATCTGAGTTCAGCCGCAGACACTTTCTAGCTAAGAAACCTTGGGCAATTCACTTAACTTCCCTCTACCTCAGTTTCTTTATCTGTAAAATGGGGGTTAAATAGCACCTACTTCTCAAGGTCTTTGTGAGAATTAGACAAGATACTATCTGTAAAGTACTTTGCCAATCTCAAAATGCTATTATATAAATGCTATTATTGCAACTCGGTATGTCTAAAATAGAACTCATTATCCTTTCCTCAAAACTATCCTCTCTTCCAAACTTCCTATTATTGTCAAGGATACTATCTTCCCTTCAGTCACTCAGGTTTACCACCTGAAGTCATCTTTGACTCCTCAGTGTAATTCACCCCTCCCCATATCCAACCAGTTACCAAGTCTTGTCAATGCTACTTCCACAACATTTCTTGAAACCTTCCCCCTTCACTCTATGAACACAGCCACCACTTTAGCTCAGGACTTCATCACCTGACGATAGTCTCCTAACTTGCCCCCACACATCCAGTCTTTTCCCTCACTAGTCCATCTGCACACCACTACTAAACTGACATCCCTAAAGCACAGACTTGACCTTGTCACCCCATTACTCAGAAAATCTCAGTGGTTCCCAATTTCTTCTAGAATCAGATGCAGGCTCATAAATTAGGCATTTAATGCCCTTTATCGCACCAAGCACCAACCTACCTTTCCAAACCTATTATCAATTGTTCCCCTTCAGGTTTCTTTGGTCTAGTCAAACTGGTCTTCTTGCTTCTCCCCACCTCCAAAGGCTTTATAAAGGCTAGTTATCACTATTATTTTGTATGATAAGCCTTTTCAGGTTCTATCACACTGAAAAGTTTTTTGTGGGGGCTCATAACCAAGAGATTAGCCAGAAGGTGATAGATTTCTTTTACTCTTTTTGAGTCAAGAAATAAATAAATAAATAAATAAATAAATTTTATATATATATATATAAATCTCACTCCTTCTTAAACACCATTGACATTTTTCATATGTGATCTTTGTCCAACAATCAATGTATAGTTGAAAGAGCTGAACAACACTTGTGTTGACATTCTTGCTATAAATAAAATCAGAAGATACAAGGAGCTAAATGGATGGATGGTTCACAGGATCTCCTCATGAACAAGAAGAGAAGGGCTGGTGAAGCTGGTTTCATCTATGCCCAAAATCAAGAGGAAACATTATTTACTTGGATACTGCATGGGTCATGACACTTTGTCCTGCTCACAGTGAGGGAAATCAATCAATCATTGAGCATTTATTGCACATTGACTATGTGCCAAGAACTATACTAAGATATAGGAATATAAAAATGAAACAGCCCCTGCCCTCAAGATGCTTATGCTCCATCAGAGGAACTCACATGCATTTGTATAAATTTATACAAAACATAAAGGTCATTTCAGGAAGGAGGACCAACACCTTAGTGAGAGTGGTGAAGGGGAATCAATGGGCCTTTATGAAAATAATTGCAGTTATAAAAAAAAAACTCTCAGATACCTAGCCATACAGACCACAGTGACCTCAAAGGATTGCTTTTGACAAACTCTGTTTTCTGACTCAGACTTATTTTTGTACATTTATATACACTAACCAGCTTCATAGTCCTGAAATTCTTTCTGTGCCCCTCCAATTTAGGTAGCTTCCCTCTGAACCTTCATGCCCAACTCTCCTGCTATGATTGGTCAAGCCTTAATGCTCACCTGTGATTGATCTCATTCTAATTTGTAATCTTCATTGGACTATTCCTTAATGCTGGAACCCAACCGGTATAAAATTTGCTCTTATTTGATGACTCTTTTTTTAAAATGTGTAAAGACCTGAACCGATAGTGAACCTACCTTGAATCATCTCAGCTTGAACTAGGCTGGATCACTTCCTAAGCAGTAAATGAGGATAGAGATTGGACCTGGGATTACACTGCTATAGACTCAGTGCTTTATGCACTGAACCACCTATCATGTGCAAGGAATGGAAATTTCTTCAAAAAAACAAAACTTCCCAATAACGCTATGTGGAATTGGAAGAGACCTCAAAAGCCATCTAGTCCTCCTTTCTGTGCCTGAACAAGGTTGTGAATCGTGTAACACCATAAAATCTGGAGGGGGTGGGGAATGGAAAATTCAAGGAGGCTCTAATATTTGCTATCTGTATGACTATGGGCACAACCCCTCTGAGCTTCAGTTCCCTTATCTGTAAAATGGGGATAATAATACTTGCCCTACCTACCTCCTACAGGGCTAGTTCTCCCTCCAGGGGTGGGGAACCACATGTAGCCCTCTAGGTCCTCAAG